GTTAAAGCAGGTTTGAGCTATTTAGGATTTGGATTGCTTTCTCTCAGGGAATTCCAGAACTGTAAGCTAAACTGGGAAAATAACACATCTAGGAAGATGGTGGCAGCAAAACATTGCTGTACTTGTTGCCAAGAAAACTATGTGATGTGTCCTTGTAGTCACCACCAGTTGAGTTTGAAGTTGGTTTACCTTTTTGACAAAGCACCTTGGCTGATCTTAAAAAGCTAAGCAGGGTTGGACCTGGCTAGTAGTTGGATATGAGACTACCAGGAAGTTCCAGTCCTAAAGACTAGATTGGGAAAGCAAAATATTTTCCAGAGCAGTCAATAGGTAAGTATTTTTGTGTTGTTGCTAAAAAAGCAACTTGGACCTGTCTATGTAGTCATTAGGAATTGAGCTTTGACTTTATCTTACAGTCATGGTCAAGTACTTCCACATGCTCACTGCAAACGCACAGGCGTATGGCAGGCATGTGATGATATAATCACACCAGGGCCTTATGACTTACGAACTTGTGTCAGATATCCTGATACAAGGATATCATTGCAGCATTTGCAGGACTATGTCATTGCATGCATGTGGCCATTGTCTTTCAGATGCTGCTGTGCAAGCATTAAAAAAATCAAATAGCAAACCACCTCCCTGCCCTGTAACTGAGTATAATCCAAAGTAAACTTGGCATACTTCTGAAATCAGTACCATGCATTATACTTGTGAATACCCCTTGTTTGCAAAAAAGAATGTTACCTCTATGTAAATCTGTGTAGAATTGAGCTACAATTGCCTAATTGTACGGAACTCTTTTCTAAGAACATAAGCATAGATTTCTTTTATTGTATGCCCATTCTGTGTAAATAAAATTAAGGGGAACAAAACCTTTTCTTTTAAAGTTTCTATTTTGCTGTGGTAATGAAAAAGAACCTTCCTTTCTGTTTTATATTCTCTGCCTCAAAACTGAATATTAACTAGCACTCATACTGTTTAGTATCCTTCTGTCCTGGTTCAGTAACGTAATTATCATTTAACATTAGGAGATAGCAGGTTCAGAAGCCTTTCCTGCTCAGAAGATGAGGGGTAAGGGGATGTGCATTTGTGAGAGACAAAAACCAAAAAGAGGAACACAAAATTATGCATTACTCTGCCTGGTAAAGAAGTTTATATATCCTTTCCTCAATATCTGCCTAATCTTCGTTGGGTGAGATTATGACTGAGGCCTTAGGCATTTCAGCATCATCGTAACCAGATCTAAATGTGCTGCTGCAGTTATTGCTCATCCCAATTTATGCTCAAATTATAGAAAGGAAGAAAGAAATGCTCCTAATGAACCTTAGAAGCATCACTCTTGATTTTCCCTAATTTTAGTCCTGATAGACCAGTGTTTCTCAACCTTGGCAACTTTAAGATGAGTGGACTTCAACTCCCAGAATAGGCTGGCTGGGGAATTCTGGGAGTTGAAGTCCACTCATCTTAAAGTTGCTAAGGTTGAGAAACATTGTGATAGACTAAGAGAGAGCATGTAAAAGAGTGTGGCATAAAAACTCATTGAGCTGCCCCCTTATCTCCCTTGCAATTCCAGTTCTAGGTCCAGTGGCAGGCAAACAAGAGTGTGCCACATGCTGGATCCTTCTCCGAATCTTTATGTTAGATAAATGTTAGCTTTCCACCCTCTTATGCCCTCTTAAGGTAAAACAGGCATAACATGATTTATGTTGCTTTTAATAAATAAATGGTGCAGGGCCAACTAAGCCAGATCAAGACCATGATGTGGGTGCAGGGGGTGGGTGGGCTGCTTCTCCAGGAACAACCAGCCTTGTGGCAGCCATTTGCCATGCAAGGAAATGAATCTTAGCCTCAGGGGTGTCTGCAGGTGTGGTTAAAAAAAAGTCAAGATGGCTGTGATGATGCGATTGAAGCTCTGCCCGATTTTTATGTACGGTGCAATAGTCTTTGGACAGAGTTTTGATCATGGTGTTGTGGCCTCCAGCTTGACTTTTTTTTTTTTACCAAGCTCCGCAGATACCCCTCCTCAGCCCTCTCTCCTGATACCAACATGCCACCTACTTTAATCATGCTCCTGTTCAGGCCAGCTATTTCTTAAAAATGTCCACAGCCAGATCATGTGAAAGTAACATGTCCTCTTTGATCTCCAGAAGGGTCCAAAAGTGAATCACAGAGGAAGGGCTGTAGCAGACATTCAGAAGTGGGCGGAGCAACACTGAGCAGGGCTCCAATCTGAAGCCTAGGAACAAAGATAAATGCCCAAGAGTTAGGCAGAATATGACTAACAGAAGGCACTCAGCATTCTGCATGGGCAAATTGACACATACATATGGGATTGGTAGTCACAAATAATGATCCTATACACAGAGAATAAACAGTTGCAGATAAAATGCAGTCCAATATTCTGATTATATCTGAAGTTCCTCTGGTTATAGCCTTTTTTCCTGAATTCAGTAAAGTAAATCTCACCTTAAAAGTGCTTTTCTTTTTCAGATTTTCCTTTCTTTAATAATTGGATATGAATTCTCTATCCTCTCCTATATTTTGTATTAGGGAGTCACATGAATCTCACTTTAACTTTCTCTCCTTAATCCCAGTTCCACTCCCACATTAATAATGGCATGAAGACAATTAAAATATTCCAGTTACATGCAATTCTACTTAATCTAATCAGAATTAAATTCTGTTGAATCAAATATGGTATATATGTTTGCACTGTAACTGTAGCAAAACCTTTTTTTTTACCTGTAGGTTTTTAACTGCATAAAAGTAAAAAAAAGCAGTGCAAAGATTTGAAAGGAATCCTGCACTGAAAGATTTGCAGGAATTCTGGGGTCATTTTAAACATTTCTACTCTATTTTTAACTACAATAATCTAAACCAATAATCTAAACTACAATAAAAAAAACAATAATCCTACACAATACAAATGGCAAGGAAGCTGGTCTGCATTGTGAAATGAGTGCTGTATGGAGGAGGAGATGTTTCTAATCAAGCTACTGTCTCTGGATACTGTATTAAGGGATGTGACATTACAGCTTCATGGTTTCATGACTGCAATCAGAATAAATAGAAACTGTCAATTACCCATTTTTATTCCTGAGGTTAGCTTGCTCCTTCTAGTACATCCTGTTACATGAAAATCCTACCCATTCCTCCTCTGTGTTGCTTTATTTCACAGAATCTGTTAGTATAAATGAAGGTCATTTGTTTCAAAAATCCAACCATGATAAATGGAATAACACTAGAAATTTAAGCCACCTAACTGCAGTAGGTACAAGACAGGCAAAAGAACGTAGACTGTCCTAATGTAAAGAGATGCATTCATGTATTTTTGTCTCTTCTACCCCTGGAAAATCTGTCTGACTCCTAGGCCTGAAAATGTCACCCCAGGGATCTGAATTCTTTATGGGCACATTGGTGAAGCATCTGGATGCAACTGCAGATGACTAAATGAAAAGCATGATTCTGTGTGGAGATGCTGATTTATATCTTGAGCCAATTCCTGCCTCCCCTCCCCATGATGCGATTACTATAGCATCTTCTATTGGAGCTATTGCTATTGAAACGCTATTTCATTGGGGGGAGGGTCCCTGTTGAAAGGGGTAGCCTAAGATGAAGGGAGAAGGGAGGTTCTCTGAAAAGCAGCCAGAAGCAGCCTCCTCACAAAAGGGGCTTCTGCCCCATTGAAGAACTCCGTTTTCTTCTCTGACAGCTGAGCCTATTCAGCGAGGCGTCTTAACTCATAGCGTTTGGAGGGAAGTCATGGAGAAGAGAGAGAACCTGCCTAGAAATGACTGAATTCATCAAAAGTATTGAACACAACAGATAACTTATTTATTGCTCAATATTTTTTAAAAGGGCAGAGTATAAGAGGCTGATAAATATAGAGACAATTCATGCTTTTAGGGGCATGAAAAAAATGGGAGAAAGCCATTTTTAGGCATCTTTATGAAATTACCAACTGCAACTTGTTTAAATAAAATTAGTTAATTTTATAAAGTAATCAGGCTGTATGCACGTTTTTATTTTTTTTTAATATTTTGAATATAGTCTTGATACATACTGTGTATATGTAAGACAACTGTGGATATGTTGATATTTTCCCAACAGGAAAAATCCTTGTTGCTATTATTCCACGCCTGAAGATGACCTAGGAATACCACACTTAGAACTACTTGAAAGCAGCTGGAAATGGTCAGTAATATCCAGTAACTCCAATGGAAATTATTAATTGTTGCACATGTAGGCCTGCATGCATTCCTCTGATGACTCAGGCCCCAATCCCACAAGGTTAATCCTGGTCAATGAATTATGCATTTATCAGTGATCTGAAAGTTTTTCCATCCGAGACAGCTGAAGGTCCTGCTCCAATAAGTCTCTTTAGGGTCATTGGTGTGCTTATGTTTGTGGATCAGGCTTTACTTTTATATTCTTGGTAGCAACAGTCCTGCTTTACAAGGTGGGGGCGGCCTCCAGTGTACTACCACAGGATAGCCTGAAGAAGTGATGGAACCCTTCTACTGGGCACATAAAGTACTTCTTGAGAACAGAACCAATAGTCATGAAATGTTGCATTGAGGTCTCAATTAATAGTAGTAGGAAAATAAACATGGATCATAGCTCAGGATGTGTACATGATTGATTCCAGTGCCTAGTATTGTTTGTTACAGGTTGATTGCTTCAGTAATCCCAAGTATTGAAGCAGTTCTCTTCAAGTCTCTCTTAGGAGCTTCAGCTCTGATCCACCACTGTTTTTTTAAGTAAAAGCATTTGCCAAATGTATGTTTGTTTATTATATTCAACTGGCTTCACGGTAAACATTTGTTGCTTATAGGAAAATGCTGAAACCCACTAACGTGGATGCTGCCACAACCCACTTATCTGGGAACAGCCCCTAAGGATGAATGGGGCTTTTGTGACAAAAATACGTTGATGTTCACCAGGCTGTTTTTCTTCTATCCTACTTTCATCACTAAAACAGATGAACAGAAGCTCACATCATTCATCAGTGCTAAGATACAACTCTATATACAGACATAGAACAGGGATAGGCTGAAAACTGGATGACCAGAACTATTTATTGAAATCAAAGAAAAGGGACATGTATAGTATTGAAGGGCACAAGGAAAAGGCAAAATACCATTAATTTAAGAACATTTTTTCCTCTAGCAATAGCAAAGCTGTACAAATATTTTTTAAAAATAATTTTGCACAAGATTTACACTGTACATTCCTTTATTTGTACAAATAGATCCATGTTTGCACTTTGCACACTTCATTTATAGCTTATTATATTTAAATACATACAGTATTATGCCTCTCACAATTAAGGGCAATTTGTCAACATATGATTCTTTTCAGTGTTCTTTGGCACATACCTGGCTTATGTATTGAATAGAACAGTGTAAGACTGTCTAAGGCTACAGATCTGTTATGTTTCTTGACAGTAATTAAGTGCATTTTTCTCAGATTAGCACAAGCTTATTTACAAAATCATCTTCCATGAATTTCAGTTTGTGTTCGGTAGCTAACCAGCAATGTCCAAAGTAAAGTTTATATTCTGCAATAATATTTTTCAAAGGAGAATAAAATTGCACAAGTACTGGTGTAAGTACTAACTAGATGAACTGTTTAACAGTATGGAATGTTTTCATGAAGAAATCACACTCACATGGCCAATATGAGAATGTATCTCCATTACACTATGAACTTTCATAAAAGGCTGCTATTTATCTTTCACCAGGCAAGGGATATATGCTGGTAGACAAGCTGGGATATAATTAACCATAAGTCTGCTTCTTGGTCATGAGACCTGTATTTTGGCACTGCAAGCTTTCAGATTCAATTATAAGATTCAGTGAAGAAGCAAACAAACAACATGCAGTGAATCATGTACAGTAGATGCTATACTTCAAAAACATACACTTTCTATAAGCCATTCAATGAATAGCTGTGCAATTTGGGATGTATTCAGTTAGTCCTCTCCGTGGATAGAACAGCATCTGCAATGGAACATGAGGGATTGGGATCTGCCCCTGGGTCTGAGGCCCCTTTCGGAGCAGATTTTCAGAGTAGGCAGGAGACTGTAGGAAAGCGAAGAAATTAGAGTTTGCTTATGTACCTATGAAATGCATTCTTTTATCTCCTCTATCAGAGAGAGCTCTAAAATCGTGTCTTACAGCTTCCAAAAGAAGATTACTAAATAAGGAAAACGTAATTATTGGAGTTTCATTTGCTGCAAAGCTGTTGTGATTGGCTTAGCTCAAGAAGTTCCACTATGTCATGGGTATATTTTATAATGGAAAAGAAAATATAAAGTTCTCAAGTAATAATTTCCGATTTCAACAATAATTTACATTTAAAAACACACACACATTTTCAAAAACTTCATACTTACTCCAGAACTATCCTCCTTCTTTTTCTATTTAATAGTTAATTAGCTATAGGAATACGTATTTTTGCACAGAATCAGTTCAAAGAGAAATGTCTCAGTAGCAATTGAAATATAAGAATAGTGAGGATATCTTTTTAAAAAATAATTCCGTGCATGGAATTGCTCATCTGGAAATACTGTTTTATTCCTCACAAATAGCTTGTCTCCAGCTCATTGTTCCAACTTCTGGGTATAGTCATTGTAAGCAGACATTCAGAATCCTTAGAAATATGACACAGCTTTTTACAAGATACATATTTTTATAACCTATCTTTTTCATATATCTGCCCACAATGACCAAATGCTGCAACAGCTACGAGCCAAAGAAAATCTGGAGTGTTTGTCCCAAAGGAATACATTTATCCTCTGAACCTTGCTAAAAGATTTCATTTCAGAATCTTACACAGGTGCTGCTGGAGAATCTTAGACTGCTACCATACATTCTCAACTATGGTGGTACAAATTTTTCTGAGAACATAACTAGGCTTGAGAATATACCTATATTTCTGTATTGTGGATCCTGAAGAAATCTCCACAGCTCTGAACATGCTGGCTGCCCCTCATCAAATGACTGGGAAAAAAGAGGCCATGTTCCCAGTTGTGGGGAAATATGGTATGGACAGCCTGCACAACAGGAGGAACAGAATGGCTGTGTTCTCTGTTTCTGGGTGGCTGAGGGAGACAGGGCTTGTGAGAGAAAGATTTTTTTTCTTCTCTATGCCTGTAGGAATACAAGCAGAAGACAAAGAACAACATGAGGAATGTGATGAGCCCAAGATATGGATTGGCTTAGGGTCTCTCATGTCCTTTAATCCAGTGTGGACCCCTGTCAGTCAATCAACTTCAGAATTGTGATGTCTGGGTGAATGAGATGGTGTCAGACTTATCTACAGCAAAAGCTCCATTCACATAGGATTTCTTCGTTTCTTTTTCCTCGCTGTCAAGCACTGTTGTTTCCAAAGCAAAAGGATTAACTATGTTAACTTCAGAGATGGTATCCATCTGCTCCAGTTCCATTTTGGAGAGTTTTTCCACAACTCCAGTCCCAAAGGCATCTCCAAGAACATTTACCATGGTTCTGAATCGATCCCTGGAGAACAAACATTTTAGGACAGTCAGGATAGGTGATGATAGGTTCAATCTATTTTTATATAAATGAGACTTGTACCCCAAATTTATCAATATTGGCAAAAACATGTCAGTTTAGAGTTCTAACACTGTAACTAAAGACATGGTGCAGAGCTCAAACAAATTCTGAGGAGTGTCATACAGGATTCAATAATTCAGTTTTAAACACCGGAATTTCAAATGCCCTTGACCACGGAAGTCCAATCTGTGGTCCGTCTGCTTCCTCATTTCTGCAGAGCTGCCTACTTTTGGGCCAATAGAATGACAAAAAAGAATGACCTCAAGGTGCTAGGGACAAGGGCTGCAACAGTACTATGACGTACATCTTTATTACTTATGTGTCATTGGAGGTTTCCAGGTGGCAGGTCCTAGGACCACTGAACTAGACACTGTAGGGAAAAGATGGAATAGCTGTATAAAATACGTGAGAGAGGGGGATGAAAAAGGAGGGATGAAGTGGTGAATACATCTGGGAGGATTACAGGTAGAAGACAATATCCTCTGGGACTTTCATCCTATTTTGTGAGTAAAACAGGGAGATTGCATGGCAGAGCCTTCTTGCAAGCACTGTTTCTTATACTTTGATCATGACTTTTGATATACCTGAAGGAAACGTCAGTCACCACTGCTATAAATTTAAGTTCTAGTAAATGCAATAATACTACTTTTGCATACGCTGGTTTTTGGCCTTTGCGAAAAGAAAAACATTAAATCAAGAAATTTGATGAACGGCTTAGTGTTGGAGTGCAGGTTTCCTATTCTCAAGACACATCTTCAGCAGATTGGCAGGGCCTTTCCTTTGAAAAGGTGCTTTCACGTGGCAAAGGTATGCTAAACACTCAACAGAAATTCAGACTAACAGGGATAGAGAACTCTGCACACTGAGTTACTTTTTACAGGGTGTAAGGTTATACATTTGAGGTAATAAGTGAAACAGTGTGACAATCTTCTAAAGTAATGGACTGCTTGGTATTTCATTCCTTCTGTATATAATTATAATGTCATTTCCTTCCTGAAGAAAGACTATGCCTTCTAAACAAAAATGCATCAGATGAGACTGAAAGTTTATATTAACATTTCAGATGGTGTCAATTTTATTTACTATTGCATGTGAATACTCAATCAAATCTATGCAAAAGAAAAAAAGGAATATTATTGGATATCCTGGAGCATTGGAATGAATACTCAGTCCAATACTTGTTAATACTGTTATACAGTGTCAACTAAATGTTAATATAGTTGTGAAATATCTAAACTTGTGCCAGCAAAAAACATTCGTTAGAAGTATACTGATTACACAATGCAATGGGCTCACTGAAATTTTTCATGTATTAGATAGATTGTGTTCTATATGTTCGGTGGCAGGTTATTACACTAACAGGACTATACTGATTTGGATAGATGTGTATTGGTTTTAGCTTGGTAATTATATTCAGCTAAAAATCAATTCCCATTTCATTGCAAAATTAATAACAGCCTTTGTATTTCATGTTGAACTCCTCTATACTCAGCTTCAGCCACTTTTTATTGCCCTAAGACTACGAAAATTACAGTTATAAGCCTGTGTCTGTAACACTAATCTTTCTGGAATATCTGACCAGATATTTTTTCAGGGCTGGTATTCCTTTTTTTACAAAAGGTGTTACAATACAGATCAAGGCATAACTGGGAGTAAGTCTTACTTAATTCAGTGTAGCTTACTATTTAAGTGAATGTGTTTTACATTACAACTTTAAATAAAATGGTCTCCAAATTACATGGCATTAAAATAATAAAAGCTGTCTATTACAGGAAAATAATTCTGTAATTCTATGGCTCTGTGCAGGTAGATTGAAATCAAGTTATACCAACAGAAATTCTGGCCTTGAAATGAGTTACTTTCTGCAATAACTAATTTCTGGGTATATATTCTTTACCATGTGTTCAGACCTAACTATAAGTTGTTGTTTTTTTTACTTGCCTTACAAGTTAGAATTTTTTTAAAAAAATTACAATGTATTCTGTGCCTAATATCAAATTTTACTTTATTGGATGATATAATTGGAGAATCTCAAACTTCATATTTTTATCTTTTATTTGCACCAGCACAAATTACAGCAGGTGTAATATGTGTCTGTTTAAAGAGCACTAATCCAAAACAAATTAGAGAAATGTTGAATTGTTTTGAAAATAAATCTGTCTCTTTGGTTTATTTTTGCTTGACAATATGACTAGAAGTTAAGATCTGCACAAGAAAGAGAACTTTCCCAATATTGCTGTCAGTTTCCAGTATTGTTTGGTAATAACTTTATCCTAGAACTGATTTACTCTATTTGACTGTTCCAGGGAAAAGTTAGAGAATGCTATTGAGGACACAGTTGAAGACAGAGAACAATCAGCCATTTCTACTATCCAAACAAATGGAGGGGAACATTCTTCATCCCTGTTTCTAAATTCTGTCTGCATCTTGAACTCTTGACACATTTCTCCCATATGTCATTTGGGAAATGCCAAAAAACAGATAAAAGCCCATCACCTTATGGTCCCAGACATCCAGATGAAAACTTCATAATTTTGTGTAAAACAAAGTTAAACTTCCTCAAAGATCCAATAAATTATCATAATGCAATTTAGGCCAATACGATGGAGATGCAAATTGAGAAAAACCCTCCCTTCTTGTAACCGAGAGAGATATCACTTGAGATATATGAGGATGGAAACGAGTACTTTTTTCACTTCCTGTCCTCCATCCCTTTCCTTCTCCCTTCCCTTTAGCTCTTACATGTTTCTAATCATCTTGGCTTCAAAGGTTTACCATACTGGCCATATAGCCATATCAAAATGTCTTTGCGGAATTTTCATGCATGAGACTTTCTTTAAATCAGATCCTAAGGTAAATTTAAAACTGGATTAATGTCTTAATTCTTCCAATTTTTCCCCATTTATTTGAATCCAAGTGATGCAAAATCATTAAGGAGGTTCAAGTGACCTGTCACATATGAAAATCCTTTTGATTGGAGTTCATAGTCTATAGCACACCAGAGTCTGAAGTTTCTGATTTTGCTAGAGAAGCACAACCATCAAGGGGATCAGTGCTTCCCTGCAGGATTGGGGGCCATATCTTTGTAGGCCTTGAACAAAATCAGATCAATAACTGAAACACTTCATTTAGTGGTTAAGCAAATTATTAGTTTGAAAATATTAGGACCCCAGTGCAGTGTCCTTGAGAGACATGTTAGGACTGCAACTGATGGCCTTGCTGGTTGGGCAATTCTGAGAACTGTAATGTCAACACGTCTGGATGACATTGGGCAGGGTGTATAAGATTATCAAGCTACAATGTTGCATTACAGATGTTTTTATTCTTCGGTAAGAGAAAAGACCAAGAGATGCATATGAAGCAGAGAAACTTACAGAAGCCAGTCCACTGCGATAATGAGGGTAACATCTTCAGCTGGCAGTCCCACTGCACTCAGCACAATCACCATGGTAACCAGGCCCGCCTGTGGTACCCCTGCTGCTCCGATGCTGGCAGCTGTTGCTGTCACACTGCATCCGGAATCAAGAAGACACAATAACTGAGGTAGGGTCTGACCAGCAGAGCATGAAATGGTACAATGGATTTGGAAACTTTATTTCTGTTGATGGAGCCTGAAACTGCATTTGCCTTGTTTTACAGCTGTTATCACATTACTGATTCATATTCATTTGTAATCAACTACAATTAGGAAGACAAAGAGGAGAGGCAAAGCAGTTTGGATGCAAATGAAAACTTATTTTGGAGGTAGTGAAAAGGGCAAAACAAGGAGCTTCCAAGCAGCATGAATGGAATTAAAAAATAAAAGTAATGAAATAATTGGATGACACTGAAATAAGAAATGTTGGAAGGAATGTTTTAGAGATGTTTAGGGACAGCGGTACGTTGACATCGAGTTAAAACGAATGCTCTAAACCCTAATGTCCAAGGAAAAAGTGATGGAAAGGAAGCCGTAACTGATATGAGAATGTTGCAAAATGGGAAGGCTGCAGGAGTAAATAGTATAACTGGAGAACTGCTAAAAGGAATTGCTCGCAAATTGTGCTTTATTATTTCCTTTTTTAAGAACTTCTGATCTTGAGAACCTTTTCTTATTAGCTTCTCCAGACATGGAATCATACTCATTATTGCTCTTTTATAAAAATATTTTGATGTTGACGATATGTGTTACAGTGCTGACCACTGCCTGCTGAGCCAACTTGCTAAACCACAAGTAGGAGATGGTATTTAGGTAAGAGAAAATGTCCCAGCTTGCAAACATCTTAACTCTAGGATGAAGCTACAAGTCTCTCTTCTGTTCTCTTCCCTCTGTTTCTGTTGTCTATCAAGTCAAGCAGTTTGCAATGTAGAATATTTGAAAGTTAGTTATCAAAGGCAATATGGTGTCTAAATGTGACGATCTTGCAATGCTTAATTGGTTAAGTAATATAGTTAAATTGAGCGATACTCTGAATTTAGCAACACAATGTGGAAATTAGTAATGAGTACAGCTGATGGGTTTTCAGTGCTATGAAAATCCTCTGGGCACAAACATCAATTTTCCTGTTAGTGTTGGCATATGATCCATGCAACAATTTAACTGTAACCACAGGCCTCGTTTTCATGAGAGTATATTGCAGCAAAGCATAACATTTTACAGATGGTTCATCTCAAGGGACAGTCCTGCACTGGGCAGGGGGTTGGGCTAGATTTATTTATTTATTAAATTTATATGTCGCCCATCTCCCCCAGAGGGTGAACCTGGGCGGCTCATAATTAAAATCCAAACATTAAAAACAGTAAAAATATAAATATCCATATTAAATTAGCTAAAAAAAATACTATATAAAAAGACTATATACAATTCAAGATGACAGGAGGGGCAGAATCAATTACCCCACCAGCCAATTCCAACAGTGCAAGTCCCGATCAGGCCCCCAGGCCATCTGGCATAGCCAAAATTTCATATTCTTCCAGAAGGCCATGAGGGTGGGGGTGGACCGCACTTCAGGTGATAAATTGTTCCACAGGGCAGGGCCACGGCAGAAAAGGCTCTCTTCCTAGACCCCGCCAGCCAAAATCCTTGACTGGTGGGGTCCACCACATGCCTCTTCTGCCGGACCGAGTGGGGTGGGCTGATATAACAGGGGTGAGACAGCTCCTCAGATAACCTGGTCCTATGCCATGAAGGGTTTTAAAGGTAATAACCAACACCTTGAATTGAACGCAGAAGCAAACCAGCAACCAATGCAGCTCATGTAACAGAGGTGTTATATGTGCCCCCCTGGGGACGTTCAAAACTGTCTGCGCTGCTGTATTTTGTGCCAGCTGTAGCTTCCAGATACTCTTCAAGGGTAGCCCCATGTAGAGCGCATTGCAGTAATTCAACCGGGAGGTGACCAGGGCATGAGTGACTGTGCGGAGGGCCTCCCGATCCAGGAAGAGGCGTAACTAATGCACAACACGGAGTTGCACAAAGAATTACCTCCAAGGTCCCTTTCAACCCGAAGATTCTATGGTTCTAACTACTATAGATGAGAAAAAAAGGTCATTGTTAAAACATTAAGTAAAATACATGATGCAGCATAATCCTTACCTAATTGTCACTATTTGGCCAATGTCTAGTTCTAAATCATTAAGCTGTGCAATAAAAACAGCAGCCACTGCTTCATACAGTGCAGTTCCATCCATATTGATTGTTGCTCCAACTGGTAAAACAAATCGAGTAATTCTCTTGTCAACATGGTTTTTTTCTTCTGCACAGCGAAACGTTACAGGTAAAGTGGCTGAACTAGATCACGCAGATCAAGAAGAAAAAAATAAAAACATTAAGAAGAAATATGTCAGTAAAAGGCCAATGTGCACATTTATTAATTTAACAATCAGGTCAAGAGAAAACTAACATCAAGAAAAAGCAGCAGATATATGATAATGTCTAAATTAATATCAAATGAATCTCTAAAATAAATTTACGTGTAAGTTAATTTATATTAACCATGAGCTAATGTAAATGTAGGGAAATATTTTTGTTATCCTCACCTGGAAGAAATCATAAGTGCTGTCAAAAGTGCTTGAGCCATACCAATGGCAAACTGGTATGGATTTTTCCGGACTATGATTAAGTATATTAGAGGTAGAATTACAACCGAATGGATTGCAAGTCTGAAATAGGAAACATACATTAACTATTGTAATATTTAACATTAGAGTCTTAGTGAACAGATGTAGATGGGTTTCAAAATTCATCAACAGTGAGAGAAGGATATTTTTCTCGAATCAGCAAAGCTGTTTAAGCTAGACTGTAGAATTATCCCTTTTGTATTTGATAATGTAAGATATGCCAATCCGCAGAATGGTGTTATATACGCAAACCTCTCATTAGTCACTAATTAAACATTAGGGGACACCCCCGAAGTCAATCTCGATGACTTCTGCTCTTTACGAAAATAACTGGGAGGCGGCAATATGGAGCAGAGAAGGAAGAACAAAGCAACCTCTGTCTCTTCTCTAAGCAAATTTCTTGCAACACAGTTCTATGTACTTGCAAATAACATGCAAGTACATAGAACCGTGTACTCGATTCTCCCAGCATCTCTTCCCCACTTGTGCGACACAGGGATAATATTCTATTTTACGTCAATATAATAAGGATTTCAGATCATGAATATAAATGCAGCCTGAGAGTAATTCATGGAGTTCATTTAATTATTAATTAAAGATTATCCATAATCTAAATGGTTTCTCTTCTCTTTTACATATTAGGCAATTTGTTGTTGTTGTTTTATATATATATATTGCCTGACAACTAACGATTGAAATTATAATGTTGTATTTTTAATTCAATATATTTTCAGTGTATCTGAAACACAGATACAGTGAGAATCAATACAATTAAAGTTCCCTGAAAAGGTAGATTTTACCTTTCCCCTAACTACAGCAAAAGCTGATTTATCAATTCAAATTAAAAAGGAAATAAATACATTTTATTAATTAGAGGAATAACATACCCACTCAACACGGTAGCCATATAAAGACCTAATTTGCGAAAAATCTCCCAGTCTTCAACTTCTATTATCTTTCCAGCAATCAAAAACAAAATACCCAGAGGCATATACCTAGAATGTACAAAGCATTAAAAATTATGCTAAGACAATTTGCAATGCAATTCTATGTATATATCAAGAATATACAGGCAGAGGAATGCAGTATTTCACATATAGTGCATTTGTCTAACTTTTGTTATGTCTATTGCAAAGGATGAAAAAACTAAATAGCCAGTTCTAGAAGTAACATTTTTAATTTTAGACTTGAACGATTGATAGCAATTTGAACTATCATGCATATCATGGATGAAGTGCAGCAATGATTTCTTGGTCTAAAAAAATTGGTTTCTGCAGATTGTTTAGGGTTAAGAAAGCCCATTTTCCCCAAAAGATCCTCCCTGCATATTGAAATAATCTGTGAAAACTTTCTTCCTCTGGCAGTTTCAGTGGAAGCTCTGTGGAGCAAAAGCAATATTACTAAGAAATCCCAAAGTCTATGAGGGTCATTGGAAGTTTGCCAAAAGTTAGTGGTTATACCAAGCCTTTGGGCAGAACCAATTGTTCAATTTTGGCATTCCTAATACAAATGTATTCAACTATTCATTTAAAAAGGCAGTACTACCATTAATATATTACAGTTAAATAAATATAACCTTACAGAATAATCCACAATCAATAACTCAGTCAAAATAATTGATTGATTCTGATTGTGAATTATTTTGTTTGTATTTATTTAAATTTAACTTATTAAACAAGAATGTTCTCCTTTTACAAAAAAAGATAGGATATGTCCCTTAAATGAACAAAGCACCCCATTTAGTTATGTTAAATCTAAATTTGGTGTACTCATGGAAATCCATTCAACTATGTCTACTGTTAAGTAATTTACCTCATTGATTTCCATGCACCTATTCTAAGCAGGACAAAATCTGCATTTAATTTATTATTTGGAAGAGAAGTTTTACTGAAATACTAATTACTTCTACTATTTAGCAACTACGCTAATTCAGGTTAGCATAAGAAGCAACTTCTCAAAATAATATTTTGTTTAATCAAACCATTCAAACTTCTGAGATGTTTTATTTTTTATTATTAAGAGTTGAACTGGAGCCTTATATTTTAAATTATTTAGATGTACACGAACACATATGTGCACACACATATGCATCCCCCCTCCCCTGCCATATACAGCTACCCAGTGCAAAGCATTCAAAAGGCGAGCTTTGCAAAGTGCGTGAGCAAAGCAGCCATATCCTCCAGAAGGGTGGCAGGCTTTTTGGAAGGCTTTCCCCAGCTCTTTGTTGAAATGTGTACCAAATCTTAAAGGAGTTAATGGAAAGATACTGTCCCACTTACCACATAATTATCTGAACTATATACATTGTGGCATCATTCAGGGCATTGAAAAAGTCCACCAGCACTTGTCCTTTTTCTCCCATTTTCCCAATCACAATTCCGAAGACAAGACAAAAGACGATCAATCCAAGCACATTGATGCCATCAGAATACATGCCCACTATTTTGTATTCTTTCGTTTTGTTCTGTAGGTTGAGAACGGAAGAGGGAAATGATCAACTAGCAATAACACATTTCACTAATATGAAGATTAAACAATTTAATTCTTATCTGGGAGCAGCTTAACCTTGCTAGGGATTTGTTTGTACTTGATTTTTTGACTATAGCATAATAGTGCTTCTGTAGCTTGATCTTAAAGGACTTTGATAACAGCCTTGGTACCAACCAGGGCAGCACACTCAAACGGGGTAGGGCTTTGATCGTGACACCGGGTCCACCATCAGCAGATTTTGTCCCCCTCTGCAGACACCCCATCTCTAACTGTATGTCCTGTCCATCAGTTGACTTCTTGTTATTAACCATCACTTTAAGAACCTGAATTTCACTACACAAATTATTTCTATATTATTTCAGTAGTGCTAATGCCATATAATGCACAATAGTAACCATATTATAAGAAACATAAGCCTCTAATAACATCTTAAAGATTAATAGTAATTAAGGGGCCACAAGTCTTTTTGTTTTGCCACAACCGACTAACACAGCTCCCTTCTCTTTACCTGTGAAGTCTCGGTTGGCATTATAGCTGTAATTGGTTCATCTGTAGGAAACGTTCCATTTTTATCTCCACCTGTGATTTTTATTTCTTCACGTTTGGTCTTATACTGGAATTGTGTTAATGGAAAATGATGAAGGAAAAAGTTATTGTTAAAGCTCTTTTTAAAGTTTGTAACAGGCAAGATTTACACATACTACTACCACTTCTAAGATGCTATCAGTTCCATGTCTATTTTATTTTTCCGTCTTCTTAAATGTTCCTTTTTCTCATTTTTTTTAATGTGAGAATATGGAGCTTGTTACACATCAGAAACCTAAGAGTCTGTGTGTAGAAAGTAGGGAGGGATCCATAAGAAATAGATAACTTATGAGTATCTAACTATCCATTGATCATTGATTCTTCCTTAAAACTGGGGATTTGGTTGAGATACATTTTCTAATATTAAGAGAGAAAGGCTAAAGGTAGTGGGATTTTTTTCTAAGGTACAAAAGATACAGAGTCCAGAAGAAATGATATACATATTTATTGACTGCCAACTAGTGTTCAGCATTATCTCCTCAACAGTGGTTATTGGAAAAGGAAATAGATTTTTAATTACAAAATTATGAAGTCATATTTACTTGATATTATTTCATTTGATTTTTGTAAACAAAGCCTATTTGTGTAAAAATAAAGTTATTGCTACTGGACCAAGATCTAAAATAATAGGTAATAACATACAGTCCAACCATTACAGAAGATTGTTTAACGGAGATGCAAACATTTTACAGAATTTCTGTTAATAAATACAAAAGTAGAATCTACCTGTTGAAAGCAGGCCTGTACAAGATTTTCTGGGAACATATTTCTGTAAAGGGATTAAAAGATGTAGCTATGTAATAGTTGAAAACATATTCAAGAAGCATGATGTAATAAGTCTCTTTCTCTTAACTCCAAATCTCTGAACATATATATGCTCTAACCATAGGCTTGGCTTAGCTATTTAACTGTTCAAGATGTGAACACTTAAACTACCTGGGTCTTTTCTCTGTCCTGTACTTTTTCTCTATAGTTTATTTCCCTAAAATATCAGTCTACAACACTTTGTCCTTCATGTTACACAAACAGCCAATCCCAGCATGTGAAGGGAGGAATCATTCCACGAAATAAAAGAAAAAAGCAGGCATAAAGGACATATATTGCCTTCTATACCATTATGAACAGGCCTGTATATTTTCTAAAAATCTATAGCAGATGCTATTTCCTATTTAAAAGCCATAACTTAAATTGAGAGACAGCCATTTATCATGCATTTTTAATAACTAAATAGGGAATTAATTCAGAGTAAAACTGGGCAGCTGGAAGCTGATTTCCCTGATTTATTTTCTTTCCCAGCAACTTTCTGAAAACATAGGGAGTAAAGGAACATTGCAAAATGGGCTATACTTCTGGAGTGGGGGTAGTAATCCCTGAAAATTTCTCAAAGATACCGTCAATATTCAGGGATTCTCATTTTCTCCTTATTTATCCATGCCACAGCACAACCATTCAATAGGGTCCTCATCTCATAGAATATTTAGAAGGAGGTGTTAGCACTATTAAATTTTCTTAATTGTAAATGTAATCCATTGTTTTAAAGACTCACCTAATCAAGTCTAACATGGCATCCACTGTAGATACTTCTGGTGTGCTACCCACCCTGTCAATTTCATCAGCTTTCTGAGATACTCCTGGTTTGATAGTCACAACCAATACAATCCCTGTAATTGGAGTGGGGGGAGAGGGAGAACACAGCCCGAAGAAGTTGAAATCTTGCAGAAAACATTTTTTAAAAGATTGTAGTGTGGAGTAAAAAATGACAGATGACAATTATGCTTATCCTAAATTCAGGCCTTGGTTCTTCCAAAAACATAGTTTATTATTTTCTGACAGAGAATCAATGCTTTATCATATACAAATACTACTAAATCAGAGCTGCAGATGAACCTAAGTTATTTTGCTAAATGTTGTGGTTGTTTACAGCAGGCAGAGAAAAGGGGTTTCACCTATCCTTGATATTTCCACTGTCCTTGGAATATAGCTTTGTATTCAAACTATGATCACCTCTATGCTGACTGGTGAAACCATTAGAAAATAGCCTTGATGCTTTCCACTTGGATTTTTATTGTGCACCCATCCTGCTTCTTTCACAGAATCTATGGCAAGTCTAACTGTAACTTATTTCAATTACTAATCCTCATAAGTTTCCCCACCTCTACTTCCATCTTTTTTAGCAGAAAGGAGATTGATTCTGATTCATAATGTTAGAAGCCCTTCCATTTGGAAGTATCCCATTTTTGCTACAATTTACATACAGATACATTCATGATTTCAGTAGTTGCCCCATTTCTGTACAACCACAACTTGATAAAATCTCCTTCAGGAAGCAAGACCAAGTGGTATTACTTCCAAAATATATAGTCAATCTCATGGTTAAATATTAATTTTGATAGTAAAGAGAAACCTGTATGCCTGTGAAATGCACACTGAGACTGTAACCTGGACAAGAGGTCCTAGTTCATGAGCATTCTCTTGCTGTTTATCATGGCACTCTAAGATGGATGATATCCAAGTCTGTTCTTCACCATAAATCTAAGTTAGACAAAAATTGACTATTTATTGCTACCTTGCTAATCTATTAAAACATGTCCCACTACATTTCAGATGTAAGGATTTAAATATTTAAGGGTAGAACTACTTATTACCTAAAATTACAGCTAAGGCAGTAGTGAAGAAGTAGTACACAACTGCTCGCAGGCCAATCTTTCCAGAAACGCTGGAGTCCAATGCAGCAACACCTGGGAAGATTTTAAGGAAAAGAGAATTTTTAGTGTATACATTTATAAATAAATGCAGTGTGATTTAGTTGTGATATATTTAACTCCATCTTCCTATAATAAGAATTACCTTTCTGTATTGGGTCATAAATCCAAGTAGCTTTGCACTCTGCTTCCAATAGTTGCTGACTATACAATCAATTTTAAGTTCACAAGCAGAATATTATGGCTATCATTCTTGCCTATCTCTTGCATGGATAATCAAAGATACATTGTCCTAAACATGGGGATCTGACTTGACTGTCAAATCTAATACTCAGCTCTCCTTCCTGCTGCTATATAGTGTATGTGTGAGTGTGCATTTTATTGTTTGAGGCAAATACCATCCCTTTAACTTGCAGGAAAAAAGACCATTTTTAAAAATCACCAAAAAGCCTTGTACCTTAAACATATTTAATGTGATGAGCAATTATGAATCACAAAATACTTAAATCAGAATAAATGTGCTGGTCTTTGATACATACATACATACATCCCCATCATGCTATTATTCAAGATCAACTATGTTATATAAAGTGCAGGAAAGGAGTCAGAAATAGGAAGTGAAAAAAATTAAACGCACGAGATACAAAAATAAGGAAATAAAGCTAAACATAGTTTATACCAACATGGTCATTCACAATACCTCTCTGTATCTTTCTATCTTTGCTTCTACCATGTCCATACATTGCTTCAAATATTGTCTTTTGTTTTTCAAACTTTTCACCTCTCTATTTTTAAAGATCTCATCAACTCCTCAGTCTTCTCTTCCTCTAAAATCCATTCACTATTTCTTCACATAGTTGTTTTGCGGTTTGATCTTCATTCATTCTCGCTATATGACCAAACCACCTCAGTGTACATATTTCATTGTGGTAACTTAGTTTTATATTTAATCCACATTCATTCATCACCCATTTGTTCTTGACCCTACCTCCTCTTGTTTGGCCTTATTCTTAAATAATTCTCAATGTATTCAACTTACTTTTAAGTTGAATAACCAACATAACCAATTGGCATAATCAACTCTCACTTTCATTTAGCAAGGTTGGCAGGACAGTCTAATGCAAGCCATTTTCTTCCTTCTTTTGACATATGTTTGCTCTTCTCAACAGACCACATACTACTCACTACCTTCCTACCAGCATTTGCATGTCTTAAAATTTCTCACTCGTTTTCCCATCTTTAGAAAATATTTGACCAAGGTATACAAAGCCATTTATATATAAATTACTATCATTTACCACATTTTCCTGGTTGAACACTACAACTGTTGTCTTTCATATACTAATTTTAGATTCATATTCCTTGTTAGGTAAATTGTATGATGTAATATCTACTGCAGATTATTTGGGTTCTCAGCCTAAACATAGCATTATCTGCATACAAAAGTGTATGCTATTTATGTCCCCAACCAGCTAACTAGCACAGCTCTAATATCACCACATGGATTCCTTTTACAACTATCCATAAATACATTAAAGTGACATCATACATCTTTATCTTACTCCCATACAAATTTCTAAAACTTTCCCTACAGCATTCCATTTCATCACTTTCCTTTTTTAATTCCAGTTACTACAGTGGAAGCTATATCTTTCGCCCTTTTACTTCTATCAGAATTGGACTTTGTTATTTTTTAATGCATATTCTACAATACGTTCTTCTCCTCCATTTTTTGCCACAATCAAGCTTTTACATGCATTTTTTCTCATCTACAATTTCACCACATCAATCCACCAAGCATCTTTTTCCATACTTTCCATTACTGTAAGGTTCTCTCTTGTATGAGAGTAGGTGGATGACTTTCATTGCAACAGACCAATATGGCTATCTCTCTGGAAATTAATATTTTTAAAGTGCCTTATAGATCAGAGAAATCATTTTATAAACTAGAATATTAGTTTGTCTATATACCCAATAAAACAAAATAAAATAATCAACTTTAGAAACAGTTATCTATAGAGTTGCAGGTAGCAAGTTACTTAGAGGGATGTTAGTAAGTTTGTCTTCATTAAAAACAAAATTAATTAATTAAAAACCCAGTCTAATAACAAATGGTGCATTAATTCTTCAAAACTAGTTTACTTAGAAACAAATAAAATAACAGCAGTATGACTCCACTTGTGGAACTCAGTATATTTGGCTTGTTTTCTGTTAACTTCCTTGGCCTTATCTAGGCCTAATAATAAGAACTCATCAGACATGTCATATGAACATAATTTGTTTGCACCATCCAACCACAAGACTACAGCTGGTCCAGAATGCAGTGGGGCAGGCAGAAATGGGCATGCCACAGCATGCCACATGACATCACTGTTCCATGTGCCATTTGGCTTCCAGGTGCAATTCAAGATGCTGGTTATTACCTATAAAGCCCTTCATGATATAGGGTCTGATTATCTGAGGAATTGCCTATCTTTTACCCTGTCTGGTAAGATCCAGCAGAATGGGAACATTTCGGATTCTCTCAATTAAGCAATGTCACCTAATGGAGTCTTGGAGGCATGCCTTCTCTGTTGCAGTGCCTGCCCTCTGGAACAGTATCCCCCGCAGGGATCTGTATGGCTCCCATCCTGCTTATGTTCCAAAAGACACTGAAAACCCAGCAATTCTTCCAGGCCCTGGAACAGGGTAGTGAGTGGCCCTTTTAAGTTTTTTACGTTGAATCATTTTAGGTTGCGTATCATCTGTTTCTCTATTTTATTGTTCTGGCTTTTTTTTATTATGTAAAGTGCCTGGAGTCAACTGGAGTCAAGAGTTCTTAAAATCTCTGTTATTAATAATTTTTAATCTATGCTTCTTTTATGTGATTAGTGGAAGCTGCCCCATAGGGGCTAGATTTCAGGCTCAGCCAGATAACTGTGGAGTCCTTGGGGTTCTCTGAGCTTGGTTGTTTTCTTGCAAATGTTTCGTTACCCGGCTAGATAACAACTTCAG